TATTTCTTGAGCAGTGGAATCTTGTACAAGAGGACTCCAGATCTGGGAATACTAAGGTGCATAGATGCTAAACAAGCTTCGACTATCATGGCCGAAGTGCATGCCGGAGTTTGCGGGCCACATATGAGTGGTTATGTCTTGGCAAAAAAGATTCTTCGAGCAGGTTATTATTGGCTCACCATGGAACGTGATTGCATCAGCTTTGTTCGTAAGTGTCATCAATGCCAGGTGCACGGTGATTTGATTTATTCCCCGCCATCTGAGTTACACACGATGTCTGCACCTTGTCCATTTGTTGCTTGGGGCATGGATGTCATTGGACCAATTGAGCCTGCAGCATCGAACGGGCATAAGTTTATTCTGGTGGCCATTGATTACTTAACCAAGTGGGTCGAAGCTGTAACTTTCAAGTCCGTGACCAAGAAGGCAGTGGTAGATTTTGTTCATTCAAATATCATTTGCCGATTCAGAATTCCCAAGGTAATCATCACAAACAATGCGGCTAACCTCAACAGTCATTTGATGAAAGAGGTATGACAACAGTTCAAGATTATGCATCGAAACTCCACTCTGTATCGTCCTAAGGCAAACGGAGTTGTTGAGGCTGCTAACAAGAACATAAAGAGGATACTTCGCAAGATAGTGCATGGTTCTCAGCAATGGCATAAAAAGTTGCCTTTTGCTTTACTGGGTTATCGCACTACTGTTCGCACTTCAGTAGGTGCAACTCCTTATTTGCTAGTGTATGGAACTGAGGCAGTCATACCTGCGGAAGTTGTGATTCCATCCCTTCGGATCATTGTAGAAGATGAAATTGATGATGATGAGTGGGTCAAACCCCGGCTAGAGCAGTTGAGTATGATTGATAAAAAATGATTGGCAGCAGTATGTCATGGTCAATTGTATCAGAAAAGAATGGCAAGAGCATACAACAAGAAGGTGCGTCCCCAAAAATTTGAAGTGGGCCAGCTGGTATTAAAACGCATCCTTCCACATCAGGCTGAAGCTTAAGGCAAGTTTGCCTCAAACTGGCAGGGGCCGTTCATTGTGACAATGATGTTGCCCAATGGTGCCTTGTATTTAACAGACATAGAAGGCAAATGTGTAGATATGGCTATCAATTCTGATGCAGTCAAGAGGTACTATGTATGATTTCTTTGCTTACCTTCAATCACATTTTGTACTTGGCGTGTTCAAAGTTGGAATGACGAAAGCATTTTATTCTGCTACCCAAGCACTTTTATCCTTTGTTACCCTTTTGAGCCTTATTTGTTTTCTATCATACCCCTCTTTTGGAATCAGAAGTAGAGTTAGGAAATAGAAAAGAAAAGGAAAAAGAAAAAAAAAGAAGAAAAAGGAAAGAAAAGAAAGAAAAAAAAGGAGAAAAAGAAAAAGAAAACAACAAAAACAAAAAAAAAACTTTTAGTTTGGAACTACGTTAGACTTGATTCCTTTTAAAGATACGTAGGCAGCCTTACTCTGAGGTTCAGTCCCATCAAATAAAAATTCAAAATTCCCCAGATTCAAAAAAAAAACTGGGGCAGAAGTTTTAGTTTTGCAATAGGTCTGATTCCAAAAGTTGTAATTTTGAACCCTTTCATCTTAAGTCATGTTGAGCCTTATACCACCTTTTCTTTCTAACCCTTTCCAAAAGCCTATACTACGGTCCAAAGAAAGACCTTCCGATCAATCTTTGAGGATGCCAAGTCAAGTGAGATAGAGGTATGATTTCCATCATGGGTAACACTTTGTTCATTGGGTACAAGGAAAATAAATAAAATGAGAGAGTCTTATTGGTGAAAACCCTCACGGGCACCGTAAGGCGATGGTGAGCTGAGGAAAA